GTATAGAATTCTGTGTAGAGGGTAAGGAGGTGGGGGGGAACTTTGTGGTCAACATCACAGGCCTCTGAATAAGTTGAGGAGCAGCAAGCATAGGGGGAGGTGGAGCTGGGGCTATAGGTATGTTATTCTGGGCAACTGGTTTTGGTCGAACCTAGAGAGAGAGAGAGAGACAGACAGACAGAGGTGTCAGACTATTTCCTACAAACATGACTTAGCAGACAACAGTATTTGTCTTACATTGAGATACACATCACCACAAAGTTACTTAATTTGAAATTTGTCTCAAACTTGGTTGATTCCAAATATAACAACTGTAAATGGTACCAAAAACTGTTTCTTGTCTCTGCATCAGGAAGCTTCACATACTTATTATTCAGACTAAAGAAACATTACTTTATAAATTAGCTTGTAATAAAAATTAGAGTGGTTATGTGATTTCTTTTCCAAGTCCTGATATGGTAGCATAGAATATATTGAATTTCCAATGCTGTATTCTTTAAGAATATTAACAGTAAGAGGAATTATTTATACAAAATAAATATAAATTAAATGCAACTGCATTTGTATTAACTCTACATCTCTGCATTAATTGAGAGAATTTATAAATTTATAAGTTATTATTTTAAATGTTGAATCTAACATATTAGGATGTTTTTTATATAATCTTGACTTTATGGTCCTCTAAAAGACGGGAATGGAGCTGAAGGTGACAAATATAATATCATTGAGGTATAAGAATCATTTAGTGAAAGAAACAGTATTAGACATTCAAAGCACTGCATATAAGTTGTTATACATATGGCTACTAATTGTGGGATGTAAAATTCAGGACAACCATTACATTGCATCAAAACAATAAGAAAACTTTCTCTGCAATCTAATGATCATTTAGATTTCTATATTACCCTTGCGCATTTGCCTTCAATAGTTGGAGAGAATTTATTTCAGAAAATTATTTGCTCAACCAATCTTCCCATGACAAATTTGATCCTTTCTAGAAAACAGTAAGAGCAAATTGCACTAATTAAACTACAAACAAACTCATCACGGTGGCAACAGCTAGGTGGCAAAGACTTTATTGGTATACATTAGTATAATGAAAAGAAACAAAATTAAAAGATCATAATAAATACAGATAAATAAACTGGGTGCAACTGGGTACAGCCCAGCAACAAAAAGTTAATCCAATTCACAGCCTCAGATAACTTCCTGACCTCCAAGCCTGGGAGAACTGCCAGATCTTAAGGCATTTTGAATGCCAGTAAGGTTAGGGACAAGGTGATCTTGGGTGGGAAGGATAGTTTCTAAGCCAGAAAAGGCAAAGTTCTGGTCCCACCAGATGAGATTTTAATTGACAAGGCCTGAAGCATACCTCTCTTGCCAGACCTGATGAAGCGGGTAGAAACAATTGGAACAAAACACTTCCATAAGATGGCAGAAATGGAGCTTTAATATGAAAATAGCAATAGCAATAGCAATAGCAGTAGACTTATATACCGCTTCATATGCCTTTCAGGCCTCTCTAAGCGGTTTACAGAGAGTCAGCATATTGCNAAAAAGGAAATTAATAACATCTCTGCATTGAACTCAGCTTCTTCCTGTTACACTAACTTTGAGCAGCTTAGATTGTTCCTAATCTTAAGCATAGGGGAGTCTTTTATTTTTTATTCCAGATTTTTTATAATTCAATTTTTATATCATTCAATTATTGGTTAACTTGACTGGGGAAGGATACTGTAAAATCTCCATTCCCACCCCACTCCAGGGGAAGGTTACTGCAAAATCCCCATTTCCTACCAATCAGCTGGGACTTGGGAGGCAGAGAATAGATGGGGGTGGGGCCATTCAGAGGTGGTATTTACCGGTTCTCTGAATTACTCAAAATTTCCACTACCAGTTCTCCAGAACTGGTCAGAACCTGCTGAATACCACCTCTGCCTCAGTTCTGATTAGAAGTAGAACCTGCCAGGATTTAAAAGAAGCCAATAATAACTTTGTGGTGGTAGCCATAGTATCTTAAGTATGGTTTATATAGCCATAAATTTTAATTTAAAAAGAAGGTAATATGTTTGCTCAATAGTACAACTAAATTTCTGCAAAATAAGAAGCTTCATTTTCATATGTAATTAGAAATTCAAAGAAAGAACGTTGGGGTCTAACTATTTTATTAAAAAGTCATCAGAAGCTTAATGATCTGTTTAAAATATCTAGTTGGGATACAGAGACATCTCTCTTAAATTTGTAATCTAATCTTGAAATTAAATCTATTTTCACCACATTTATTCTTCCTCATAAATTCACACGTATTTTCAACTTTTGTTAGTATTACTGTTAATCTGAATTACCATCAATTGTATTAACATATACCTCAAAGGCATTATGAAGAAATTATTCCTAGATATTTAAGAGATTTCAGACAATAAACAAAACCCACGTTTTTGCATATTAGCAACTGACAATATATTAGATTACTTCCCAAAAAAAAAATATTTTAATTATTGGTACCTGTGGGTTTTCTTCTCGTTTTGGCTTGGGAGGTGCAGGAGAGGTAACAGTATGAATCTCTGTTGGCTTCTCCTCTGTTTCTACTTGGGGCTTGACTGTCTGAAATAGAAATAACAGAATATATAATCCTTGATTTAGCAGAAAATGAAACAAAAGGCAATTCCTTTTATTAACCAGAATAACAATGATGAAAACCCTTAACTATGTGAAAATATCCCAAATAATACTTAGTTTTTCGGCAGACCAGCCCCCCCGCTCCCTAAACTCCAACACTTAAGTAAAAGACCTGGGGAGCAGAACTATAGATGAGTTGGTATTTTAAAGAATGATCTCCCTGAAAAGCTTGCTTAGACACCATTTTGTTAGGAACAGGCACTCTCAACTCCTCTTTGTGCTTTAGTACATGAAATGTGCCTGAAAATTAGTTCTCCATGAGTGGCTTTTCCTGAAGTATAATAGTATATGGCAGAATCCTTTAGATCATAAGTTCCTCCACAATGACACAATAATCACTTTATGACATGGATATGAAGTCATAAAATATTACCAATTTGTTCCAAGGTGACAAAGATAATTTCAGTATGCTATATGAGCAACACATGGAATACGGATTTGGATTGGCTTGTACTTAATAGTAAGCCACATTGTGGTTTGTCCCTTTTTGGTTTAATATACCCTACAAACTAATGTGCTATAGATTTTTCAATAAAACATAGTTAAAATCTGGCTTATGGTTATGGGTGACTATTGGCTATGTCTGAAACATTTGTTTGAACTGTAGTTTATTCTAATGGTCTAGTCTGGCATGACCGTGAAACAACTTTGGAAGTATTTGGTGCTATTTACTGAATAAGTCAATCATGGTTAAAGATATTAAAAAGTTTCAAGTTTTTGTTAGTTCAAAATGGAAGGAAACACTAGCCCTTCCCTTCTGCGCAAACCGGAGTACTAATTTGGTATATGCTGATTTTGTGTTCATATTTTACTGTGAATTAATGCACATATATGTTGCATCTTCCCAAAAGAGATAAAAAGTGGATCATTTTCCTCAGACATCAATGGAAAATTTGTCAGGCTTAAAAGCAACTTTTGAGAATTCAAATTAGCAGGCTTCAAAATCAGCTTTAAAAAGATGTGTTGTCAGGAAAATGATGACTACTTCTCTTATTTTAGGGCAATGTTCTTTCAACTATCCAGGTTTTAAACACCTTTGTGTAGCCAATGATAAATTAAAGGTTGTTGCAAAATTGTTATCTTATTTTGAAGGCAGATTAATTAGAAATGTTAGCAAAATAACGGAAAAATATTTTGCTGAAAATGAAAATTGTATACTCGGGCAAAACAAAGAAAGCAAATAATAATAGCTCTGATGAATAGACTGACCAAACAACATTCCTCTAGCTGTACCTGCTTCTCAACATTTGGTTTGCTGATCTGTAGAGTCTGAGGTCCAGCAAGCCTGTCATCTGGGGCTGCTATAACAATGCTGGTGAGTTGTGCCATTGGAAAAGTTTTGGCTATGGTTGCTGTTTGCCCATTCACAACACGAACTGGGTGTATAGAATTCTGTGTAGAGGGTAAGGAGGTGGGGGTGAACTTTGTGGTCAACATCACAGGCCTCTGAATAAGTTGAGGAGCAGCAAGCATAGGGGGAG